GCAGATGATATGATACTTTATATAAGTGACCCAAAAAACACTACCAGGAAACTCCTACACCTGATAAACACCTTCATCAAACTAGCAGGATACAAGATAAACTCACAAAAATTAGTAGCCCTACTTTATTCAGAAGACAAAGGGGCTGAGAAAGAAATCAGAGAAACATCACCCTTTACAATAGCGACAAACAACAAAAAGTATCTTGGGGTAATGCTTACCAAACAAGTAAAAGACCTATATAATAAGAACTTTGTGTCTTTAAAGAAAGAAATTAAAGAAGATACCAGAAGATGGAAAGATCTCCCATGCTCTTGGGTAGGAAGGAAAAACATAGTAAAAATGGCAATCTTGCCAAAAGCAATCTGCAGATTCAGAGCAATTACCATTAAAATACAAGTACAATTCTTCACAGACCTTGAAAAGATAATAATCAATTTTATATGGAAAAACAAAAAGACCCAGGATAGCCAAAACAACCCTGTACAATAAAAGAACTTCAGGAGGCATCACCATCCTCGACTTTAAGCTCTACTACAGAGACATAGTCCTGGTATGGGCACAAAAATAGACAAGTAGACCAATGGAATCAAATTGAAAATTCTGATATTAACCCATACACCTATGAACACCTGATTTTTGACTAAACAGCTAATAGTACACAATGGGGGGGGGGCAGGAAAGCATCTTCAACAAATGGTGCTGGCACAATTGAATGATGGTGTGTAGAAGACTGCAGATAGGCCCATGTCTTTCACCACGTACAAAACTCAAGTCCAAATGGATCAAAGACCTGAACATAAATCCAGGCACACTGAACCACTTAGAAAAGAAAAGTAGGAGGTACCCTTGAACAAACTGGTACAGGAGACCGCTTCCTGAACATAACTCCAGTAGCACAGACACTGAGATCACTAATTAATAAATGGCACCTCCTCAAACTGAGAAGCTTCTGTAAGGCAAAGAGCACAGTTGACAAGACCAAACAGCAGCCCACAGACTGGGAAAAGAATTTCACCAATCCTACATCTGACAAAGGGCTAATCTCCAAAATATACAAAGAACTCAAGAAACTAGTCAACACAACAACAAATAACCATATTTTAAAAATGGGGTACAGAACTGAAGAGAGAATTCTCAATAGAAGAAATCAAAAAGGCTGAAAGACACTTAAGAAAGTGCTCAAAATTCTTAGCTATCAGGGAAATGTACATCAAAACAACTTTGAGTTACCATCTTACTCCTGACAGAATGACATGATAGAGAGGATGTGGAGAAAAGAGAACACTCCTCCACTGCTGGTGGGAGTACAAACTTCTACAGTCATTTTGGAGATCAGTATAGCTGTTCCTCAGGAAAATAGGAATCAGTTTAACACAGGACCCAGCAATCCCCCTCTTAGGCATATACTCAAATGATCCACATCCATGCAACAAAGACATGTGTTCAACTATGTTCATAGCAGCATTATTTGTAATAGCAAGAATCTAGAAGCAACCTAGATGTCCCTCAACTAAAAAATGGATAAGAAGATATGGCACATCTACACAATGGAATACTACTCTGCAGAAAAAAAAAATGCAATCTTGAAATTCGCAAGCAAGTGGATGGAACTTGAAGAAACCATCCTGAATGAGGTAACCCAGTCACAAAAAGAGGAACATGGTATGTACTCACTCAAATATGGATTTTAGACCTAGACCAAAGGATCACCAGCCTATAATTCACACCACCAGAGGAACTAGGATACAAGGTGGATTCTTAGAGATTCATATAAGGTCTGTCACAGAAGGGGTGAGGGACAAGTACTCCAGAGCACATAGGAAGTGGGAGAGGGGGCAGTGAATGGAGAGTGAAGTAGGAGAAAGAGAGGGGGAGGAGAGGAAAGCACGAGGGACTAGGAAGATTGAGTCAGTGGAGGAACAGAAGACAGAGAGAGAGACAGAGAACATAAAAGAGGGAGCCATTTTAGGTTTGAAGAGAAAACTGAACCTAAAGAAATGCCAATGGTCATTAATATTCATCAATATCAATGCTTTTAACTTGCCTATAAAAAGACACAGGCTAACGAAGATAGAATCCACATACAATACCACCAACAACAAGCAACAAATCCAAAACAAACAAGAATTAACAATCAATGGTCATTAATATCCATCAATGTCAATGCTTTTAACTTGCCTATAAAAAGACACAGGCTAACACAATGGCTAGGAAGACAGAATCCATCCTTCTGCTGTATACAAGAAACACACCTCCACTTCAAAGACAGACATTACATCAGAGGAAAGGGTTTGGAAAAGATTTTCCAATCAAATGCACACAGAAAAAAAAATGAGCTGGTGTAGCAATCCTAATATCAAACAAATTAGACTTCAAACCAAAGTCAATCAAAAGAGATGAATAAGATCATTTCATACTCATCACAGGAAAAATCCATCAGGATGAAGTCTCAATTATGAACATCTATGCCCCAAATACAAAGCCACCCACATTTGTAAGAGAAACACTACTAAAACTCAATGCTCACATAAAAACGTCACACACTTACAGTTGAAGAATTCAATACCCCACTATACCACTAGACAAGACCAGCAGACAGAAACTCAACAAAGAAACAAAGGACCTAACAGAAATTATGTCCCAATTGGGTTTAACAGACATCTATAGAACATTCCATCCAAACACAAAAGAAAATAACTTCTCAGCACCACATGGAACTTCTCTAAGATCAACTACCTAGTCAGCAACATAGCAAATCTCAACAGATATATATATATAAAAAAAAAAAAAAAAAACCACACCAGAAATGCTCCAACCCTGGCCACAGCCTAATCTGCCACATTGCCTTGAAACTGGCTACACATCAAACACTGGCCTAGTTGCAGCATCTCCTCCAGCCTGAGCATTACTCTCTCCTGGAGCAGGTGGTCCCTCTCAACTATAGACTGAAGCATCCATTTGGCCCAAACCTTATGGTCTAGGAGCCTTCAACTAAGACCTCAGTGAGTTCTGAAAATGGCCGGACTCACCTGCTCCATGTGAGAGATTGGAGATCCCTGTGGGTCAAACAGATATTTTAGCAGCAGCATCTGGACTTGGAATATTTCTGGATCTTTCCCAGTTTCCAGCGAAGAGTAGTTCAGGCTTACCCATGTCTGATCTCGCTTCTTAACCAACTTGTCCATCTCTGCTTCCAATAAGAGGGTTACTTCAATTAATCTTCAATTCAGGTACACCTCAATTAATCTTCAGTTAGTTACTGAGAGGAAACCCTTGCTCTCTCAGCTCTAGCTGTACACTTGACACAATCTAGGGTCCCCTGAGAGAAGGGGACCTCTCAGCTGAGAGAAGCCTGGGTCATAATGACCCAGGGGCATTCCTTTGCAGTTATCTTCATTGTTAATCAATGTGACAAGGCCAGCCAACAGAGGAAGTCCTGGGCTGGATATGAAGCTGGCGAAACATGTCCCCATGAGTGAGCTAGTGTGCAGCATCCTCTATGGTCTGCTTCAGCTTCTACCCCAACCTCCTTCAGTGATGGACAGTGACCTGGAAGTGTAAGCCGAACCAACCCCTTACTCGCTAGAGCCACTTTTGGTCCAAGGATTCACATCACACAGTACAAAGCCAGCAAGGGCCCTGGCCTCTTCCACTTAGCATTTTGTTTCTGCATTCCTTTTGTGCCTCCTTCACTCTCCCTCTTTTACCTTTTGGCACTTAGTTGATATTCTTAGTGTTCTGCTATTCTGTTCACGAGGTATGGTTTGTTTGTCTGTCTGTCTGTTTTTCATTTACCTTGGAGACGAAGTCAACATCCTTTAAAACTCATTACCAGGCTGTGTCCATGGGGTGGGGGGAGGACATGCCCCTGAGCGAATGTAGAGGTCAGAGGGTAAATTCTGGGATTTGGTTCTCATCTTCCAGTTGCTGAAGCAAGGTCTTGTCTGTTGGTACACCGTGATACACACTCCAGGAGAGATGTCCAGCGAGCTTCCAGGTGTAAATCAACACCTTAAACTCACCAAAACAGTATTTGAATATCAGTTCACTTTCTGTAGTATGCAAGCTCTGTGCGTTTCATTTCTGCCCCTCTCCCCCACACTATTATTGCCACAGATTGCAAATGTATACATTTTACACTTGTGAACACAGATTGGTAATTATGTTTTATGCATTGGTGTTTGCAGCCATACAGGCAAAAAAAGAAAGAAAGGAATTCGAACCCTGAAGCACACTAATACGTTTGTTCACAGTGTTCTTGCCGTGCCCTGTGCTCATTTCTTCTGTAGCTAATGTAACTGCTCACATCATTTCATTTCAGCCTGGAGAACTCCCTCTACTTGTAAGGCGAGTCCACTGATAATGATTCCCTTCAGCTTTTAACTGGAAATGTCCTGCTTCCTACTTAATTCCTGAAAGATAATTTTTCTTGACAAAAATTTGCATGACATTCTTCAGGATTTGCGTGTGTTACGCTGTATCTTCTGGCCTCCAAAGTCTCTGGTGGGAAATTAACTGTTAACTCATCATGGTTCCCTTGTGAGTAAAGGATGGATGCTCCTCTATATTGCTTTTTAAACACTCACTGCAGTTCCCGCTGTCTTCAGGGTCCCCACGAACCATCTGGGACTCACTGTAAGCCTGGACCTCTCTGAGAGCGCAAGCTACTAAGTCCCAAGTGGACTCTGGGTGCTGGGAAAGATCTCAAGGCTCCGACCTTGGCCCTGCCAGGGCTAGCGCCTCTTCTCAGACCGCCCCCTCCTCATTTCGGATTCCCTTCCCTGTAAACAGGGTTAAACTCCTCCCCCTCCTCCTAGAGCATCGCTCCTCCCTCTCTTCCTCACAGAGTCCCCACCTCCCCAGAGAAGATCCTCCTCCTACTCAGAATGTCCCCTCCTCTTCCTCACAGGAGGCCCTTGTCCTCCTCCCCCCCCCCCTCCTGCTTCTCCTCCCATACTCTCCTCTTCAGACTTGCTGCTCCTCACATTGCCCCCTACTCCTCAGAGCGCTTCTTCTTCTTCTTTTGAGCCTCTCCTCCGGTTCCTGCAGGGTTTCAGACATCTCTTGCCTCTCCTCGGCTGGGCTTCAAAACGCACCGGTAAGGGCAGGGCTTGCCAGGAAGGGATGTGAGGCGGGACCCAACCCAGCCCCTAAGCTGGAGCGACCTTGGCACTGGAGTGTGGCAGACCCACCCTTTGGGCTGGGTGCTTCTCTCCTTTGGAGTGGGCAGAGGGGAGTCCTATGGCTTCTTGTCCCTTCAGGGATGATAGAGTAAGCAGTTTTCAGTTGTCCCAGGCTGAGGCCAAGATGCCAGAACCACCCTGGGCCTGATAAAGAGCAGGTTCCCGGGGCTGTAGCCAGGCCTCAGGCCTGAGGACCTCTGTTCTGCAGCCAGCAGAACAGTTCCACCCTGACCCTGGGCCTTTGAGTACCTTGCCCTTTGGAGTGTGTTCTTGGCCACAAGGCACAGGCAGTACCTCAGCAAACCAGACCTCTCTCCACAGACCCTGCTTCTTGCCCTTTGGGGTTCACAGAGGGTGGGGAAGGGGGTGGGTCTGCTGAGGGGACACGGCCAGCTATGCTTGCCCATCTGCAGCTGGAATGTTGTTTTCACTGACTGGCGGTCTTAGAACACCCACTCCCATTTAATTAGAAAAAAACTAAAAGAAATCTACACTAAGCCAAAATCCCAGCACTCGGGGGGCAGGGGCAGGAGGATGTCTGCGAGTTCCAGGACAGCCTCGCCTACATGTCTGACAACACAGGGAGTTCCCGGACAGCCAAAACTACACAGTGAGGCCCTGCCTCAAAAACAAACAAACAAACACACGCACACTAAACATGCAAGTATTTTACAGTAAAAGACCATAGACCACCAACTAGAATGCACAGTACTATCCTGTGTAACTTTATCATCGTCATGTCCAGGCAAGCTGCCCACCCTGCTCTCTTTGGTGTGTCGAGACAGCAGCAGACACTGCTGAACTCCCCTCTGCAACAGCCAAGCCTACACCTCTGCACCTCCTCACTAGAGTCTTGGAATTCTTGCCTGTGCCAAGTGACAGAAGTCCTGGAGATTTGGTTTTCTTTCCAGTTTTGTGTTTTGTGTTTTTGAGACAGATTTCATAGTGTGGCCCAGCCTGGCCTAGAAATCAATACAGTCCTCCTGCCCCAGCCGCCTAAATGCTGAAGTTACAAGTAAGCTATCTTGTGGATCTAGTCCTGAGCTTTTTAAAGTGTTTCTGCCTCCCAGCATCAAGGATGAGAAGGGGTTGAGAGTTTTCTGTTTGTTTTGTCTTGTACTGTTTTGTTTCCCTCCCCTTCCCCCCTCACCCACCCCCCCACGTCCCACCCCGCACCCCCCACCCCCGTGGGTTATGTTTGTAGGATAGTAGGATCTGAAGAGTTGCTCTGGGGCTCCAAGCAGGATGTAAAAGGCAGCTGTCTACTGTTAAGCTTGATCCTAAGGACAGGCATGGAGTGTGCAAATAATGCCTCAAAGAACAAAATGTTTGTTTTCTGAAAGCCTCGGAGGACCATGTTGGCAGGGACTGAAGTAGGTCATTGGCCTGTGTGCTCTGTTAGGACTTTACACTGTTAGCTTGCCGGTTTGAATCTGCTGGTGCCATGTGTGATTTCTAAGCTCTGGGGCATGGTTGGCAAATTCATACTGGTGATGAATTAGAGGTTATGGCTTTGAGACCGGTGAGTCCAAGTACTTTCTATTCAGCTACAAACCACCAACCCCTCACACTAGACAGCCGTCTGAGAGAAGAGACATGCATGGCCTGTGAAATTTGTCTCTGCTGTCAAAAATGCTGCTCATAGGGCAGGGTCACCCTTTTACTCACAGAGGATACAGTCCAGGCAATGTGGCAGCTAGCATCTTGACATTTTATGCTGCTGCCTACATCCTGAACAGAGACAGACTTGTGAGAAGGCAGCACTCAAGGGGTGCTCAGTAGAAGACTGTAGGCCTACTGTGGGGAGAAGAGGCCCTGCTCCATGCTTGTGCTGGGAAGTGGCTTGTGCCCCCACAAGGGTACTGGGAAACTAAAATGGAAATATTCCCGTTTCTAGAACACCATACAGGCTCTGTCCCTCTCTCTGCCCAGTCACAGTTCTCCCTCATGTAGTCTTTGGTGGGGAGGAGGCACTGGAATATAGTGTCCCCCAGGGAAGAAGGGCCTGTGTCTCCTCTACTCCAGCAGGGCGGCTTACCCAGGGAGGATGCTCATCCCACGCCTGAGCCTGTGACCCTCTCACTGCCTGTCCTTCTCTGTAGCTCATCGGGCAACACTGTGGTGTTTAAAAGTAGGACCAGGGGCCATGCTGATTCAACGCTAACAGACCACACAGGAGGTCCCACTTTTGTCGTTTTCAAGTTGTCTGGCAAGGCAGGAGCCTTCCCAGAGCAAAGACAGTCCCATCTGTGCTAAGTGAAGAGCTGCACTTCGGTCACCAGAAGACCTGTGTCTGCTGTGTGCATTGTATCCCTTTTCCCTTGGCTGTAGACATAGCAACAGCGATGGGAAACTGTGCGACATGCAAAGAGGGCCAATGACATTCTCACCCTTTTATAAAAGCAACTCTGATGCATTTTGGCAATATTGGATCATGTTCCCAAACCCATTTCTTGTCACCATCTTGGGGTTCCTTTTCAGTGCTATAAGCCCTGTGTTTGGTCTATATGTAGGGTAGTACAGCATTGCTTCTGCAAGGAGACATCATGAGTGTTTGGTCAAAATTGTGTGTGTCAAGTCGTGTATAAAAAAAACAAAAAAAAAAAAAAAAAAAAAAAAAAACAAAAAAAAAAAACCCTGTTAATCCCCCTCTAAATCCGGGCCTCCTGCCTGTGTTTGGATTTTTCCTTCGAAGAGAAAGAGGCCATGATAGGTGACACAGCTAGACTAGAGTACAGGGTTCACCTCGATAGTTATTATTTCAGGGGGCTTAGTGAATTAAGGATAACAGCCTCACCATTTGCAGAGACAGACAGATTCACGTGCGGTGCATATGTACTCTGTATCTATTTGGCCATGTCTTACTTGTCATACAGGGAGACAACACGGTTCGTACAGCACAGACATGGTTCTTGCAGCTAGGGAAGCAGCCAGAGTTTCTAAGTAACTTCCTCAAGGTTGGCAAAGAATGCAGCTAGCTGTCTGGAAACAGCAAGGGGCTGGGGGGAGGGAGACAGTAAGGGGAACATTGAGTTCTCACCCTTGTGATTTCCACTCAGTGATATTGATCGTAATTCAACAAAGGATGCTTTCTTCCTGTTTGGATCTTTGCCACAAACAGGCATTTTCAGAAAAGGCCGATAGAATGTATCTTGGCTGCAGACAGCCATAGTCTGGCTTAGAAGCTGTGAGCTTTTCAGATTAGTAGTGTAGGAAGCTAATGATAAACTCTCTGCATTTCTAACTTGTACAGATGGTACAGAGAAATATGATCATCATTCCAGTGGGTCTGGGTCACTAGGAAAAATCAGATTTTTATCTAAATGTTGATGATTACCAAAGATAGTGGTCCAGGGAGCTTTCTGCAGAATGCAATTACTAATATTTGCCGGCTGCTCAGGTTAAGAGGATGAGATGTCTGGACTGGCAGTGAAGCAGGCTGACAGTGAGACACCTGAGACCATGCACCAAAATAAATCTTTTAAGCTTTTAAGTTTTTCTCTTAGCATTAGCCACAGAAACAAAAACCCAAGTAACGATCATGTCTTCAGGGTAACCACGCAGTAGTGCTTGAAATGTCCAGTTTTTAAATAATGAACCAGAATGAGTAGTCCATACATGAGAAAATGAGCAGTGAGGGCAAACTACCCCTGACATTGAAGACCCCACTGAAATCTGTTCAAAATGCTAACAGAACTTCCTTAAAAAGTAAAAGATTGGGGCTGCAGAGATGGCTCTGTGGTTACGAAGAGCACTGGCTATTCTTCTAGAAGGTCCAGGATCAATTCCCAGCACCTGCACGGCAGCACACAACCATCTGTTAACTCCAGATCCAGGGCTATCCAATGTCCGTGTGCACAGACATACCTGCCAGCATTCACGCATACTCATGAAAATATTTTTAATTAAAATAGTAACAAATACCAGTTATGACACAGAAACCAAGAACAGAGACCAAATACATTCTGTAGTTGACAATGACAATAATCACAATAAACATCATTTCAGTCTCAAGAGCAGATATGAGCAGTCAGAGGTAAGAATTAGTAAGCATGGAGACCGCCAACCAAGGGTCCGTGTCCTGAGGAGCAGACGTTAAGAACGAAGAGGAAAGGGAGTGATCCAGAAACCTTTATGTATACCAACTAGCATGTAGTTCAGATCCAGTTAATAATCTGATGAAGCAGCTGGCTGTGGTAGCCACACCTCTAATCCCAGCACTCAGGAGACAGAGGCAGATGCATCTCTGTGAGTTAGGACAGCCTGGTCTACAAGGTGGGTTCAGGATAGCCAGGGCTGTTACACAGAGAAACTCGTTCAAAACAAACAAACAAACAAACAAAAACAAAAAAGAAAAAAAAACAAATTAATAAAGAATTTGCTGAAACCATTAACCTCTGTGTGTAAGTTCAAGGAACCCTGTGATGGTGAATTTAAATTTTCAGCTTGAGCTCATCTGTAATCTCTTAAAATGACACTTTCTGGGTGTTTCTGTGAGGAGTTCTAAGTGAGGTTTAACTAAGGCAAGAAGATCTACCTGAATGTTGTGGGTACCATAGCATGGGCTGGAGCCACAGCCTGAATACAAATGGGGAGAGGAGGAAGTGAGCTGGGCATCCGTATTCATCTCCTTCTGCTACCTGCCTGTGTGACTCTCCTTCTGCTGACTGACTGTTGGAGACCAGCGGTCTCATGTTCCTGCCACCACAGCTTTGAGGTGTCCACCCTCAGGCTTTTCACATCGTGGACTATGTCCTCACACTGTTAGCCAAAATGAACCCCGCTTCTCCTGTTACCACTCGGCAGGTGTTTCCTCTCAGATTTGAGAAAAGTAACTACCAGAAACTCCTAGGATCGCTTCCAACAAAGCTGCATCTGTACAGTTTTAATCCAGCTATGAGAACTAGAAGTCTAAAAACAAGAAAGAGGCGCTTCACCGTGGGGAGGGCCATTAATAGCATCGTCGTTTGGTTTCTAATGCCAAGTAGAGGCAGGAGTGGCATTGTCCCTCCAGAAGTGCCTAGCGGTGTTGTAGACTGGAGGTCTTCTGGGTCCCACCAGCTGCTGCTTCCTGACACTCAGATTGTACTTGCTAGGACCAGCCATGTGGAGCCCTGTGCCTCACTGGGAGCTGCCTCTAGACGAGCAGTCTGGACATCAGAAGCAGGGCTCTTGGTGCCTGCTGTGCGTCTCATAGATCTGACTGGGATGTGTCTGAGCATGTCAGTGGCTGTGGGCCTGGAGTATGTTAGTGCTGTCTCAATGTGTTGTTGATGGGTGTGCAAGTGTGCGTTGTGTGGACGGGAAGACGTGGAAATGATCCAGTTGTAGACTTGTGTGACTAAGCACTTCAGTGAGTGTGCCTCACATGTGCAGTCTGAGGTAGAGCAAGGAGATTCAAGAAAGGAGGAGGGGTGGTAAATTTAATTTTCCCTTTTGGCTTGCAGTTGGCCATTGCTAGGGGTAACCAGTGAAGAGCCGGTTCAGAAAGGTCAGGTGACCCCTCAACATGTTTCCTGGTCACCTAGGCAAACAAGTTACTTCAGTTCTAAAACCAAACTACTGCAGTCACTGCAGTTGTCAGAGTTCAATCAATATGGAACTTTACAGAATGGCATGCCCTAACAGAAGCGGCTGTCTATAGTTTGTACTCAGCTGAGTGTCCCCAAAGCTTTGCGTGTTACCCTGTAACCCCTATGTGAGGTACTGAGATGGAAACTGTACATCCATGGTAGCTAAAGGTGGAAACAGACTACTTGAAAGGTAGCTTTAGATGAGACCATTAGGATAGACCCTGTGGTTGAGTCCAGGTGGTTTAGGAGAGGAACAGTGTCCCCGCACACATAGGCTTTGTGTTTCTTGCCATGCAGTGCATCACAAATAGCATCAGGACTTTATCACCAAGTAGAGTAAAAGTCATAGGTCAGCATGTGACAAGTTCCTGGCCAACTTAGTGGCCTTCTCAGGTTTCTCTGACCATTTTTCACCTATCTCTGATTGGATCTGAGAAATCTCCTACTTGTATGTCTGGCCTTCCTGATCTACTGCATGACCTAAGGCTTGCACTGAAGAGTATATGGGCTCCAACTTCCTTCTGCACTGCCCCCACTCACCATTGAGTTCCAGCTGTCTTCCCACACTGCACCTCACTCACCCACAGAGCTCTAGCTGCCTTCCCATACTGTCATCCACTGCTCCACAACAGGGACTCCAGCTGCCTTTCCTACCTGCCCCTCACTCACCCACGGGGCCTGCAGTCTTCTTCCCCCAACTACTGGAGACACCCTCCCTCTGCTCACACAGCCATGGGAGCCATGGTGCTGACAGTTGGCCCCTCCTGTCTTGCCAACAAAATGTTCCAGGACAGTTTCGTGAGGTGTCATTCCTCTCTCAAGCAGTGTCCTCAAGCCTTCAGAGCAGAGCATGGGGGGAATCGTATTGCACCTTAAAGCAGGGGTCCACCGGACATCTGCCCACCGTGCCCAGACCCACAGAACCACTATCTGTGCTCTTGTGAGGGACTGAAGGTCTCTGAACCCTCATTGCACTTGGCCAACAAAACACAAAAACAAGGCAAAGAACAAAGGGCAACCTTTGTTCTTTATAAGGTGACCAGTTCCCAGCAGTGGGACTCTGATCCCAGGTGGCTATAGTGAATGTTGCTCATTGTTCTCTAGGAGGCCTGAGGAGCAGTGGGGCAGCCATGGAATTGCTGACTGGGTATGGCCTGTGGCCTGTGGCCATATTCACAGTCATCTTCATATTACTGGTGGATCTGTTCCACCAACGCCAGCGCTGGACTGCCCGCTACCCACCAGGCCCTGTGCCACTGCCTTTGCTCGGCAACTTGCTGCAGGTGGACTTCAGGAACATGCAGTACAGCTTGTACAAGGTGAGGGTGTATTAGGGGATGGAAATAGTGGTTACAATGTCTGTGGCAGCACATGGTGGGGTGGAGCCACAGGGTAGACAAGTAGTTGTGCTTCCAGGAGGAGACAGGCATGACAGCTTCCTGGTGGCAACCACTGGCACGTCTGAGAACCTTGAAAACTCTAGGGCAAAAGGTTTCAGAGGGACAAAATCCAGGGGGTGGGGCAGGGAGTGACATTAGAGTTCAGAACAGGTTGGTCCAGGCAGCAGTCACGAAGGCTCCAAGTCCCTTAAGATGCTGTCACAGATGAGGTCTTATATGGTGCAAGATTGCAGGTCCAGTGCAGCATATCTGTCAGGGTACCAAGTGGAGAGAGAGGGGCTGTGGCTGCTCCAATCTCTCGCTGCTGTGTGGTCTCTGGCCTCACTGCGCATCTTAAGGAACCAGAGTTTCTTCATGTGTCACGAGATGCTGAGGGGTCATAAGACAGTTTCCTGGAGCTGGCAAGGTCACAGCTGGGTGACCAAGTCACTGTGAGTCCTTTGCTGGAATTAAAAGTTGGGATGCCCCAGGCACAGTGGGCCAGATCTCAGGTTGGGGATGTAACTGAGTGGAAGAGCATTTTCCCAGCATATGTGAGGACCAAAGTTCAAACACACACACACACACACACACACACACACACACACGCACGCACACACACACACGCACGCACACACACACACGCAGGCATTGGCACACATATACTCAAACATGCATTTACATATACACAGCACACCCATGCATTGTGTGAACACAAACACAGACAGACACATGCACAGTGTAAACCACCAGTGCTTATATAGTGAACATGGTTCTGACATCTGTGGGGTGCCTCCACTTCATAAATGCTCTACCTGTCTCCTTTAGCTCCAACAACAGTATGGCGACGTGTTCACCCTGCAGATGGCCTGGAAACCCATGGTCATGATCAATGGATTGAAGGCAGTGCGGGAAGTGTTGGTGAACTGTGGAGAGTACACTGCAGACCGCCCTAAAATACCCATCTTTGAACACGGGAGTTTGGGTCCCAAAGCAAAAGGCAAAAGGCTGTGTGGGGGCAGAGAGGGGTTCAGAGCTGACTTGGGGGCAGTGAGCACAAAAAGGATGGGGGATAGTTAAGTACTTCAACACAGGTCACTGACATCCATCAGGGAACCCACTTAGCATGGAGTGGAGTGGAGATGGCTTTTGTGTGAGGTTATGGGTGACACTGGTCCCACAGGAGAAGAGGAATGACAAGAAGAGGGCGGCACGGCCAGGTGTCCTTGCTCACACACAGGTGTCCCTGCAGGTGTGATTCTTGCCCCTTATGGGCCTGAGTGGCGAGAGCAGCGACGATTCTCTCTGTCTACCCTGCGCAACTTGGGTCTGGGCAAGAAATCACTGGAGCAGTGGGTGACAGATGAGGCTGGACACCTCTGTGATGCCTTCGCTGACCAGGCTGGTGTGTGATGGGTGAGGGATGCAGACGGGCACAGGGACACATGAGCAGTACAGCGACTATCTTGTGTCCCCACTCCCAGGACGTCCCTTCAATCCCAGCACCATGCTGAACAAAGCTATGTGCAATGTGATCTCATCTCTCATTTTTGCTCGTCGCTTCGAGTATGAAGACCCTTACCTCCTTCAGGTGCTGAAACTCCTGGAAGAAGCTTTGAGCAACATCTCTGCCTTTGTTCCTCAGGTAGGAGTCTCAGGGCAGCCTGCAGAGCCACTTCTATGCTGTCCATGGTCTCAGAAGAAACTGGGTGAAAGGCCATGGGGGAGGGCCTTCTGGACGTCAACTGCAGGAGGAAAGGCCTGGAGTTGACTAAAATCAGTTAACAGGAGGGAGAAGAGATTAAAATTTGAGGTTTCTAGAAAGAGAGGAAACCTATGCCCTCTGTCTAAATGGAAGCCACACAAGCCTTTGATTTCCAGGGTAGCATATTCCTTCTGTTCGCCCCAAGAGATTAAATCCAAGAGATTAAAGGGTGGGGTTGAGGAGGAGGCAGGTGATGGGTGGGGACAAACAGGCTCTGGGTCCATTGTGAAGGAGGCTGGTTTCTGAGACCGGTCCTGGTGGACACGGAACATAACCAACCCCAAGGGGCCAGCCGTGTGGTTAGTGGGTGAGGGGCTTCCCAAGCAAGCCTGTGGACATGAGTTGAAGCCAAGGATCCATATAGGGTAGAGACGATGCACTGTCCACATTGCCCTGTTACAGTCTCACACACACCATGGTTCAAGAGCCCCAAACACTATAATGAATACTGAGTAAATAATTAAATTTTCAAAAGGCTGCGCTGAGAGTTCTTTTGGCTGTCACAGATTCTGAACACATTTCCAGTGCTCCTGCACATCCCAGGGTTGTATGACAAGGTCTTCTCTGGGCAAAAGAACTTCATGTTCATGGTGGATAACCTGTTGACTGAGCACAGGAGGACCTGGGACCCTGAACAGCCACCGCGAGACCTGACTGACGCCTTCCTGGCAGAGGTGGAAAAGGTAAGGGATAGCCATTAATATCAGGCCAGGGATTGTGTGATACCGTGTGGGACTTCCTCTCCCCACTGAGTCCACCTTCCCTGTCTGTCCCAGGCCAAGGGGAATCCTGAGAGCAGCTTCAATGATGTGAACCTGCGCATGGTGGTGGCTGACCTGTTCATTGCTGGGATAGTGAGCACCTCAACTACTCTATCCTGGGCCCTGCTGTTCATGATCCTGTATCCAGATGTGCAGAGTGAGCCTGGCTGGGGATGTGGGGGAAGAGAGTTACACTCCCCGAGCTGACACCAGACACTTGTGGCTCCCAGCACTAACCTAACCCAGATTCCAGCAACACACATGGGCATCTTTCTCACATGCCCTCAGCCCTTAACATGGTTGCAAGGGAGAAACAGAGGGATGACCCCTAGGAATGTATCACTGAGGGGATGCTGTTCCTGCAGGCCGAGTGCAACAGGAGATCGATGACATCATAGGGCAAGGGAGAAGCCCAGAGATGGCAGATCAGGCCCGCATGCCCTACACCAATGCTGTCATTCATGAGGTGCAGCGATTTGGGAACATCTCCACATTGAATTTGCCAATCATCACATCTCAGGACATTGAAGTACAGGGCTTCCTCATCCCCAAGGTAGGCATGGGCCCTCCTACTATTATTACATCATGACACCAGCACAGATGGGCGGGAAAGCACAAGAGCAGCACACCCTGGATTTCCAACACGCTGACAAGACCAGCCTGGTGCAGGTAAACTGCAGCACTGAGTGACCTCAGCAAAGAGAAATGGCCAATGACAGTGACACAGGGGATTTTAGAAAACACTGCACACAGAAACAGGTCTGGTTGGGCACCCATGGGAGACTCCTTACAGGACTAACATGACCTTAGCTAAGGGGCTGGGAGCCTCTGAGGCTGAGGTTGAATGGCAGAATCCAGTGTGTGCAGAAAGTGGTTGTGCATGTGCTTACGATAACCAGGGTATTGGCAGCCCTCATGACCAGGGCCATGTTAGCCCTGTCCCAGTCCATGTTCACACCATGTGTTTCCTGCCAGGGGACCACCCTCATCACCAACCTGTCCTCGGTGCTGAAGGATGAGACCGTCTGGGAGAAGCCCCACCACTTCCATCCTGAACACTTCCTGGATGCCCAGGGCCACTTTGTGAAGCATGAGGCCTTCATGCCATTCTCAGCAGGTGCTGTGGGGTGCCTGGCCCCATGCCTCTTCCCAGGGTGCCTTGCAGGGTGGAGCATCCATCAGGCCCCAGACTGACTGAGCCCCTCTCCCGCCCACAGGCCGCAGAGCATGCCTGGGGGAGCCCCTGGCCCGCATGGAGCTCTTCCTCTTCTTCACCTGCCTCCTGCAGCGCTTTAGCTTCTCGGTGCCCACTGGACAGCCCCGGCCCAGCGACCATGGGGTCTTTGGTGTTCTGACGAGCCCCACCCCCTATGAGCTCTGTGCACTCCCTCGCTAACGGGACACCAATTCAGTCCAGCCCTAGCTTTGTCTGATCTTCCCACAGTTTTGTGACTGCCCTTTGTTTTCTTGTTCAAACCCTCACCCCTGACTGCATTTGGTCCTCACAGAACTGTCCATAATCACCCCGACCCTCTATCTGATCCTTCATTAATGGACAACTTGAATGCTATGAGGAAGGGTTGAACTCACCCTAGTGCAGTGGCACAGCCTGCACTTTCAGCATTGGGATCCTGAGACAGAGAATGGCAAGATTGGGGTTACCCCGAGCTATAAAGCAAGATTTACAACTGCCAAAGTACAGGAGGAGGAGACACTGTCTCATGAGTACAGAACCGGGTGGGGGAGAGAAATGAGAAAACACTAGATGAGAAAGAAGGGAAAGCAGGAGAGCAAGATGGAAGGAAAGGGAAGGAAGGAAGGTGCCGATGTGCAGGAGTGACAGCTGAGCCTTTGAGACCATTGTGGGAGAAAATTATTTTAAGGTGTGTGACTTTTGTTTATGCTGCATTTCTTTCACTCTGGGAAGCTGTGCCGCTGTGCCTGTCTAAAGCACCTGGTGGTCCTGATAAAGAGCTACAAGGCCAGTTTCGAGACAGGAGCAAGAATAGGCAGGAATGCAGGCAGAGATTATTTAAAAAAAAAAAAAAACAAAAACAAAAACAAAAGGAAAAACGGAGAAGAGAAGAAGGGAACAAGGAGATGAAGAAATCAGTCCCCAGCCCAGCCATCCATCTACACAGCAATCCACGGGTTAAGAGTAAGAAAGATAAAAACCCAGAGGAAAAAAGGTAGATGGGTTAAAGTTAAAGGTGGCTAGCAAAAACCCAAACCCAAGCTGAAGTTGGGCATTGATAACTAAGATTAAGCCTCCATGTGTGATTTACTTGGGACTGGGTGGTGGGTTCCCCAAAAATATAAAGAGTAAAAACCGCCATAGCAAAAAGACACATCAGCGGTGACTGAGGTGGTGACAAACTGCAGGTGGAAGTCACGACTCTGTGGGTGATAGGAGTCAGCACTGCTCCTGTCTGGACACAGGTGTTCCCTGAGAGGCTGAGCCGCCATGAGTGCCTGGCAAGGCTCCCAGAACCAGGAAGGCTGCTGCCCTCGCAGTGGAGACTGCGAGAAGGGACAGAAGAAAAGCAGCAGCGGGTAAAGCGACAACTGAGCCCAGGGATTGGGCACCCACAGCTGTCTGCCAGATGTGTCCGCTGTTTCAGAGGTGGGGGGGGCTCCCAGCCACCAAGTGCGACCCAGGTTGAGGACACTGCTCACAGTTAAGCTCACAGGGCCTCACTGCTCAGGGGTTGGTGGGTCCCATAGACATGAGCATGGTTTGGGGGACACCCACATGGCTGACCCCAGTCTCCACACCCTCCAAGTCAGACTCAGGCAATCCAAGGCCACTTTCCCAAACACTGTTGCTGGTATAAATGGTGCCACGTGGTCCTCAGGCCCAGCTGTGCAGAGACACTGCTATCAGCATGTTCCAGGGACTCAGGCAAGGTCTCCCCACAGGCTGATGGGACTCAAGCACTTGTCCTGGAATGTGCAGGACAGAAATGCCCAATGTGTGGTCAATCTACTGCCCTAACCACACTCCATAGCATGCAGGGATTCACGTCACTCTTCCCGAGCCCATTAGCTTTGCACATCCCACCATGCCGAGGGAAAGAAAGCATGGACTTAGGACTCACTGTTGGGCTTCACTTCTATGAACCCAGGCAACTGAAGCCAGCAAAAGGAAATGGCACACAGGACAGAGTCTGGGAGAGATATGCCCAGGTCCCATTTGTCCTCTTCCAGTGCAGTCCAAAGGACAGTGGTTAAGAGTCTGTTGACATGTGTACAGAGAATTGTGAACTGGTGGCACCCCTGAACCCACATGACCTGGCACTCAGTTCCAGCTTGCTCTTGGAGACATGGCTTGCCTGTGCAGCTGTGGTGAATACCAAGACCCCAGTCCCCCCTGGAAGTCACACTGATCCTGACAGGGCACAATTGTTCACATGGCTGGGGGGAACAGGGACTCAGGATGTAGGAAAGCAAATAGTGCTACCAGACTATGTTCACCAGAGCATCCAGAAACTGATGACAGACCAGGAAATCCTTTACATAATAGAGTGTGTGACATCTGCCATCTGCTCAGTGCACTTAACCTCTCAGGGCCCCACTTAGCCTGAAGCAGGAAAACCAGGCCTCAGTCAGCCCTTCCCACACTGGGGGCAGTACCCAATCAGCACCATTGCCTCTTTAACGATGCCACACATGACACGCAGAGGAGAGGTAGAATGTGTGACAACTAGCATCCAGGTTTACCCTCAGGTCTCAGGGGTAAACCAGAAGGAAGCACCAGCCTGAGCCTATCAGTGACAAAAGTATAGATGTCTCTGTCCCCCCAACTCCTGACTGTAATGCAGGCTGATGTCCTGACACCCATTCAGGGCTCGCTTCAGGCCAAGTTGGAGCTAGAGAAAGCTCCTTGACTGTGCTCCAAATTCAGGTGCCATATCACCACTACAGGGTAGGACAAGGTCAAGAGCAGACTTGGGGGCTTCGGGCCAGGAATAAGCATGGAGGCCCCCACAGGCCCCCGTGGCATAGATGAGGGCAGAGAAGTGGGTTGCAGGGACGGTCGAGGAGACCCAGGCTCTAGTCCTTGCTGAAGTGCTACACGGTGTGAACTCTGCTCATCTCCTCTAACTCAGCACCTGCCTCTCTTCAGCCACACCAGATGGTGCAGCAGACAGCACTTGCCTAGATTCTACTGGGACTTCTGAGCCCTTGAACTTCAGAGGTCTGGATCCCAAACAAGGACAGGGACTGCAGCTCCTATGACCCTAGAGAGTGATGAGTTGGCATGTGCTGCCTGCCCAGCAGTGCCCACCACACAAGTGCCATTTGATGGCAACCTCATGCATCATCTTTCCGTTTTCCTCAGGGCGGCCCTTCCCAACCACAGGCCTCTGGCATGAGGAGGACACTGCCTGCGTATCTCCATGTGTAATACTCTTGGGGGAGAGACTACATACATAATCACTAATCCAGCCCTACAGAGAGTACTGGAAGGAAAAATCCCACCCGAAGAAGTTAACTATACTCACAAAAACGTAGGTAATAGATAATACCACTTTAACAAAACCAAAAGAAAAATGGGGGTGGGGGGGATCCACATACAATACCACCAACAACAAGCAACAAATCCAAAACAAACAAGAATTAACAAGCAATGGTCATTAATATCCATCAATGTCAATGCTTTTAACTTGCCTATAAAAAGACACAGGCTAACACAATGGCTAGGAAGACAGAATCCATCCTTCTGCTGTATACAAGAAACACACCTCCACTTCAAAGACAGACATTACATCAGAGGAAAGGGTTTGGAAAAGATTTTCCAATCAAATGCACACAGAAAAAAAAATGAGCTGGTGTAGCAATCCTAATATCAAACAAATTAGACTTCAAACCAAAGTCAATCAAAAGAGATGAATAAGATCATTTCATACTCATCACAGGAAAAATCCATCAGGATGAAGTCTCAATTATGAACATCTATGCCCCAAATACAAAGCCACCCACATTTGTAAGAGAAACACTACTAAAACTCAATGCTCACATAAAAACTTCACATACTTATAGTGGGAGAATTCAATACCCCACTATACCACTAGACAAGACCACCAGACAGAAACTCAATAAAGACACAAAGGGCCTAACAGAAGTTATGTCCCAATTGGGTTTAACAGACATCTATAGAACATTCCATCCAAACACAAAAGAAAATAACTTCTCAGCACCCCATGGAACTTCTCTAAGATCAACCACCTAGTCAGCAACATAGCAAATCTCAACAGATATAAAAAAAATTGGAATAAATTCCCATATCTTATTGGATCACCATGGTTTAAAGTAAGAATTCAACAACAACACAAATTGAAGAAAGCCTGAAAACTCATGGAAATTGAACAATGTGCTATTGCACCATTCCTGGGTCAAGAAAGAAATTAAAGACTTCCTATAATCCAATGAAAATGAAGACACACCATATCCAAACTTATGGGACACTTTGAAAGCAGTGCTAAGAGGAAAATTTGTAGCACCAAGTCCTACATAAAGAAATTGGAGAATAGTCACACTAGAGACTAATATCACACCTGAAAGCTCTTAAAAAAAAAAAAAAAAAAAAAAAAAAAAAGCTAACTCAACCCAGAGGAATACCAATCAATCAAAGAGTTGGTGCTTCCAGAAAATCTACAATATAGAAATGAAAAAGAAGACATGACAATGGACACAGAGGAAATCCAGACAACCATCAGGTCATACTTTCATGCCACAAAATTCAAAAATCTAAAAAAGGTGGACAATTTTCTGGATAGATATCACTTACCAAAATTAAATCAAGAACACACAAGCAATTTTAATAGACCTATAATGCCTAATAAATAGAACCAGTCATCAAAAGTCCCCCAAACAAAAAAGCCCAGGGCCAGATGGTTTCAGTGCAGAATTCAACCAAAAATTCGGGCACAGCAAGTACCAATACTCCTCAATTCTTCCACACGATACAAACTGAAGGGTCATTGCCAAACCCTTTTTGTGAGTCTACAATTACCTTGGTAACCAGACCACACAAAGGCACGGCTAAGAAAGAGAACTACAGATGACTCTCCCACATGAACATTGACACAAAAATACTCAATAAAATACTGGAAAATCAAATCCAAGAACACACCAGAAAAATCATTCACCATTACCAACTAGGATACACCCCAAGAATGCAAGGATGGTTCAACATATGAAAATCCATCAATGTAATCCACCATAAAAACAAAGTGGAAAAGAAAAACCATATGATCATCTTGCTAGATGATGAAAACTCCTTTAACAAAATGCAACCCCCCCCTTCATGATAAGGGTCTTAGAGAGATCATGGATAACAGGAACATACCTAAACATAACAAAAGCAATATACAGCAAACCAACAGCCAACATCAAACTAAATGGAGAGAAACTCAATGTGATTCCTCTAAAATCAGGAACAAGACAGGTTGCCGCTCTCTCCATATTTCTTCAATATGGTACTTGAAGTTCTAGATAGAACAACAAAACAACAAAAGGAGATCAAGGGGATGC